AGTCTCATTTAGAACAGCGTTAAACGTAGTTCCGTTTATTCATCTCCTCACGGATTTTATGTGATTTTTATCTTTCAAGCATCTCGAGCGAATTGGACGTGGCGTAAGAGCGTGTAGATTATGACTTTTCGAGAGCATTACTTCCACGAGATGAGTGTCCTCGCGAGACGCATTCGTTCTACGCGTATAGGCTTCATTTTGTATATTTCCTCGCTCGGGAGATAAGATATCGCGAGCGAGTCATTCGAAAGCGAGTCGCCTGGAATTATTTCTGCGACAATTAACGAGGCGCCGACCTACCCAACAGGATATCGAGTGTCATTCGTTCAGGTGGAGAAAACTACATACCGGGTGGCTTTAACAAAAGTCAGTATCAACCGCAACGTATCTTTGTTTAAACTTTTCTTTCGATTTTTTTCTTGAAAACTTGAACAGCATTTTTTTACAGTTTCCTGACTTTTAACATTCAATATCTTTATAATTAAAGTAAATTCTATAAAAAATTTAATACTTGTTGCAAAAAGTTTTTTATTTTCAATTCTCGTAATAATAAAATTTTTTATATATGGCAACATTATGATCGAAGAAAGACTTTGGATTGCTCCGCAGGTTTCGTGACATCGATTGAAAGATACTCGGTATTCTTCGCTCATGCGAAACGTTTCATCCAAAAATACACTTCATCTATACACCGAGAAGGTCATCGCGCATATTCCTTTCCATTAGCTTCTTTTGTCCGTTCGTGTCTGCGTTTTATATTCTCTCCAAGCAAGATGATGTAATTACGGATGAATAGATTGTAGTAGCAATATCTGAGATGTATGCCGCAAACATAATCTTGCTACATTCTTCAACAGTGTGGAAGAGGAATTCTCCCCATACGTGGCATGAAATTTATGTATATTTCTCTCGTGTGGAATACAAATTAATCTTATAAGACTTTGGCGAATCTGTACGCGGTGCTGGTTGATTTTTGCTTATAAAAATCTGACCAAGTTTTTAACGAATCAATAATCTATGCACGATTAATCGCGGAATAATTGCGACACTATGATATTTCTAGATTTAATAGATTACATAATAATTATTTTTCAATAATTTTTGAATATTAACAAACGTACGATAAACATACAACGGAGCTGATTAACGAGATAATAAATTACGTATCGAATGAAGAAAAGAAATTTTGTTTTGCAGGCCGAGCGGTGGCAATAGCCGTGAGATATATTGTCCTCCTTACTCGAAGGACTTCACCGAGAATTCGCCGAAAAACGGGGTCCACGATATGGTGCATATGATACCGGAAAGAGACACGGACAGCGTGGCACCCACGCCGACCCCGCAGCATCCGCGTCACTCCCAACACCATCATCTCAGTTTACACGAGCTCCGTGCGCTTCAGGTATGTGGAAATTAGGTATTTCGGTTTATGATTCCGTCTCCGACACACTCTCCCGACGTTCTATTAATCAATGGATGCCTTTTCGCTGCACGCTGAAAAAAAAAACGGAAAAAATACGGAGAGTCGCTCGACTGTCAGGCGACGAGACAACTCCAAGCCGGCAAATTCCAATCTTCACCGACTTTTGCAGAGGCGGCCGGAATGTACCGGTAACAGCTCCTCCGATGAGAATCGGTCGTCCGGACACGCGAGCATGTCGGACACCGGCGGCCACACGAGCAGCAGCTCACCGCCGCATCGTCACCACAGAGCCCACAGTCCTCAGCAGCTGAACGCCGTGCCAGAGGACGACCGACTCTCGGCTTCGGTTACCCAGAGAAACGGCAGAAGCCGATCCGGCCAGAGCCGCAACCGGCACAGAGCTACTCCCGCTAAGGTTTTTCGCGTCTTATAGAACCGCTCTCATAAATATTAATCAAAGTTAACTGTAATTTGACCGGTTCTTAAGGAAGATAGAAAATTAATGAACTCTTATTAAAATTTACGTGAAATAAGTACAACAGCAATGGGAATAAAAGTTATCAAATATTGACGTTTGTTCCCACAAATGTCAACTAGAGTCGACTAAATTCTTCATCGATAATAAACATAATTTAAAATTAATTTTTGGTCGAAAAGATTCGCTTCGTTTATTTGGTTTCTCGAATTCTCTCTTCGCAACATTTCGCTTCACTTGCAGTTGCAGGTACCATGGTCGGGTTCCGGTTTAGAGGACATAAAGCTGGCGATTCAACAGCTGACGATGCGCTCGCACAAGTCTTCGTCGACGTATTCCTCGCTGAGCGGCTCGGAGAGCTCGGAGCCGGCGGTGAGGCGGCTGATGCGGCACTCCAGCCTGGAGACGATCAACACCAACGTCACCAGCGCCGACGAGTTTGTCTGGGTGGATTCTCACAATCGTCTGGTGGAACTGCAGCAGCTGCCGTGGACCCACCACGACGTACTGCGCGTCCTTCAGAACGGCCGCACGAGGGAGTACATGGAGCAGGTCTCGATGGAGACGATTCCGCGGCTCTCTTACCTGCTGCAACGCGCGCTAGTCAGAATCGGCCGCGAGACTCAGAGATTAGCGAAACCCATAGGTCTCTGCAGCAAGCACGAGGTGTACAGCGCCTTCAAGATCGTGCTCTGCCCTGCTCTGGCGGATTCCTGCACCAAGGTACGTGATTTCGCTCGAGATCGATTGCAGTTTTGTATCAAAAATTCAACATTATCCAACATGATGATTAATTAATAATAACTGTCATAATATCTCGCTCTTGATAGTTTGATTAATATTCAGGCGGTAACTAACAGTCATTAAAAGTCACAGTCACCTGATCACCTCCGACTTGTTTAAAGGCTTGCCTTCGAGCTGCCGCGATGTTCGCTGTATCTGGCGATCAGCTGAAACAATCGAAGGCGTCTCGTTCAGGGCTACAATTGCCGGTCGGACGTTTCTTGCGCTGGATGTCCGACGTGAGGCTCGGGCGTATGATACACGAGTACGCCGCTATATATTTGACGGCTGGAATCGAGAATCTTCTCGAGGAAATACTGCTGCAGTGTATGCCGACTGAACCGCATACAACCCTCACAGCGACGATGTTGGAGCACGCTATAGCCAACAGCGGCGACTTATGGGGTCTGTTGCAGCCGTACGCGCATCTCAATGCCGGTCGAACGGCATCAGGTGCGTAAATCTTATGAAGGAAAGGATAACAACGCAATCAATCGATCAATCCTGTAAATTACAAGCTGATAAATTTATTCGATTTTAATTACTTTTCTGGTGTCTAATGTTTATTCTACTTACTTTATTCTACTTGTTAATTTAATAAGAATTTCAAATTTTGTTGAAAAAAAAAGGAATGCGTGTGATGAATGAGTTTGACTTGTATTTAAATACATTTAATGTGAACATTTGTATGCCAAATGAATATGCCAATAAACTTTTATTTTTATTAGTCGCAAGAATATGATTTGACACTGATCAAAATATTTTTATTACAGGCGCTCTCGCGATGCCTCGTTGGGCGAGTGTAAGTTCCTTAAACTCATCGTCGTCGTCGCGTAGCGGACGAGACGCGGCCCAGTCAGCTCTGGAACCGTCGTTGCTTACGACATGCGTGGGATCAATGTCCGAATTAATAGATTTGATTTCCAAGGTAGCGCAGGCGGGACGTTGCCCCATACCGCTTACAACGAGAGCGTTGCATGCTCTGTTTTACTACATGAGATGTTCACAGGTACAGGATTAACCTCGTTGAAATTAACAAATGCATCAATTCCTTGAAAGTCATGAATAATCATTGATTTTGAATGATATTAATTAATTGCATTATATTAAATCTATCTTACAAATAGGAATTTGTACCATTGTACTAATGCGGATGCATTGCGTTTAAGCTGGAGCACGGTGAACGCGGATCAGGAATACAGGAGTTGGCATACGAGCGAGCTTACGTGGTGCTGCCACCCTTAGTAGAATGGCTACGGGTAGCTGCAGCACACGCGGAGCACAGACATGGTCTCGTCATTGATCAAGACGACATCAATCAAGCTGCCCGATTACTGTTGCCTGGCGTGGACTGCCCCGTTCGACCGATAAGGTCGGTAAAAACACAAGTTTTCAGCGAATTTTGACACTGCAATTATTTTTGGGACATCTGAACGCTAACTTCAAATTTACAATTATCTCAAAGTTTCTAACATTCCAATTAGTTACAATAATATTATTAAGAATATTAACGGGGAGAAAGGGCAATAAGAACCAAACGCGTCACTGTAGCACGTTTATTTACACGTGATCATCGTTTACATCACCGTCAGACTGAGGAATATCTGGACTAAAACTTTTTTTTTTTTTTGATTTTGTATTTTTTTTTATCAATGAATTGTCTTTTGCGCATTAACACCTAACCCGCGCATTTGGTTCCCCTTTTCTCCGTTAATATTTTCTATTGTTACCAAACTATTCGTTACTCCAATATTATTGAAATTTATGATATTATATACAGCTCCGAGGAGATCGCAGTATGCTCAAAGCGCATCGACGATACCGAATACGTTCGGTTGTTAACGCTAGACATGGCCTTCAAGATGTTGATCAGCGGACGAACCGATCTCATAGTTCAAGCAATGCCGTTGCTGCCTTCGGCGAAGATTAACACGGTAAACGACGCTGGATTCACCGCTTTGATGCTGGCGTGCATCAACGGCGACGAGTCGGCCGTAACAACTCTGCTGGATGCCGGGGCGGACTTGAATATCGAGAGTCCGCCGCCCGTGACGAATTCATCGTCGAATACACCTTCCAAGATCCCGCAAACATCCGGCGTGTCAAATGTTAGGAGTCCAATTAATCATTCGGCGATAATAACGCCGAGTAAAACGATACCGAATGTGAACGTAGCATCCGGTAGTCCGAACAATCCCGGCGCTGTCAACCCCGGCGGAAGCATATGCTACGCGCAAGTAGCCTTCAACGCAGAGACGCAACATTGGACCGCTTTGACCTACACAGCTCTATTGGGTCACTGCAACATCGCCAGAATATTGCTGGAGAGAGGTGCCGCGGTGGAAGGCGGTGCGAAACTCAGCGAGGACAAATGCACCGTCACGCCTCTGCAAGCAGCCACGGCGTCGGGGAATAACGAGATGGTGGCTTTACTCTTGGCGCATGGGGCGCAGCCCTTCCTATCCACTCTGATCAAGGACTCGTTCTCCTACTCTGGTTCCGCACAACGTGGTTGTTACAGGTGGGTGTTTGTTTAAGTTCCGATACTTTGCAAATTATATTTGTAATCTCATTTAAAAGTTGACAAAATCGATAAGTTCTGACTCGTTGAAGAAAGTGTATTATAAAAAGTAATTTTTATTCAATAAATAGCGCGATCTCGGTGGCGACGGCGCATGGCCAGAGAAGCTGTCTTCATCAGCTGCTATCGCATCCACTCAACTTCTCGGCGAAGCGAGGAGAGAAAGAGATATTATCTTTGGAAGAGATATTGGCAGAAGGTAACGCCGGCAGTAATCCTCAACAGCAGACTGCCGAAGGAAGAGGAGCTCGCAGAGAAGGCAAAGAACCGGTATTTAATAAGATACAAACAAAGGCGCTGCAAGAGGCAATGTATCATAGCGCGGAAAGCAATCATTTAGGTAAGAAGATATCATTTTTCATTATTATTAATTTAATATTTCCATATTTAATTATATGTTACATATTAATTTAATTATGCTTATCGCGATTTAACAGATATTACTATGGAACTTCGTGGACTAAAAGTAGGCTGGACGCTGCACTGCTGGATGCACAGTCTCGCGACAGCCCATGAGATGCGATTGGACTCGATTATAGATCAATTGCTTCAGGATTTTCTTCAAGTCTGCCCGGACGATTATTCCACGCAATTCGTGCAGGAGTGTCTACCGCTTTTGTTCAATATATTTAGATATAGTAAGGTAAATTGCATGATTTGTGTAAACATCATTGATCAGTTCCGAATTGTACTGTACGACGCAGAATATTTTAGTTTATTGATTGTGCATTAAAATGTGATTTAGGACATACTATCATTTTCACAGAAGGAAGGCACAACGCTTTTGCTCGCTGATATATTCTGCACATGTTTCGGTTGGGAACCGATCAAGCCGATTAGAGATACTACACTGTCGAGCGGATCGAGGATCGACCCGAAATTTGTGAACAATCCAGAACTGAGCGATGTACAATTTAGAGTCGAAGGTCGCGTTTTCTACGGTCACAAGATCGTGTTAGTCACGTCTTCCCCAAGGTTTAGGAATATGTTAAGTTCCAAATTATGCGAAGGTAATCCTCCAATTGTGCAGATTAACGACATAAGGTATCACATATTTCAGGTACGCAAGCATTATTATTATTATAATATATACATTATATATTTCTCATGCCGACAAGCCGAGTTGATGGTAAAAGTGTTTCAATTTCAGATGGTTATGGAATTTCTTTACCACGGCGGTTGCGCCACTTTAGAAGTTAATCAAAGCGATGTCCTGGAATTAATGGCAGCAGCCAATTTCTTTCAACTCGATGGCTTGCTCAGATATTGCGAGGCGCAGTGTTCTACAATGGTGGATCTTGACAATATCGTTTCTATGTATATTCACGCTAAGGTATATTTTTATAACAATATATTCTCGTAGAAGCTATAATCGTGCACTTGGATTTATCCCTTAATATTGCAGGTATATAATGCGGCGCAGCTCTTGGAGTACTGTCAAGGATTTCTGCTGCAAAATATGGTAGCACTCCTGACATACGATGATTCAGTTAAGCGTTTGTTATTTGCGAAAAAGTTACCGAATCACGACGTCCTCGCGGGCTTGTTACTCACATTGCAATCGCGGATAAAAGCCAGACGATCTCAGCAACAAAACAAGATAAAAGCTTAGATGTATGTATTGTGCAATTTTACAATCGGACATAGACACAAAATAACTTTGCGACTTGATAATGTGAACTTCAAGTTCCTAGAGGTACGTAAAAAAGAAACTTTAAACGATTTCTATTTTAAAGGATATTGAGGTGTATAATTTTAAGAAACTATGACTATATTATTGAGACAAAATCTCGAATATTATATTTAAAAAAAAATGGGTCGAATTTTATTGCAACGCGACGATTTGGGATAACGGTTTTTTAAATTGCTAAAAAAACAAATTTACATTTGTACATTGTATATTAAAATGCAAACATTATAGAGCACATATATGTGCTATCTTTATAGGAATAGCGCTAGATTTAGGAGAGCCTTTTATATATAAAGTATTCCTGTAAATAGAAGTATGCTGTTGGTCTATAAAACTTAAACATTTTTATACAAATATATCAATTTCTCACGTTTGTCATAGAATGGAACAAGTTTTGTCTTCCATTATTAAATAAACTTTAATCTTAAACTGAAAACAGGAGGCCTAATAATATGTATATATTTTATTACAGAAAAGTAAGTTTTTTATATTCATAGTATAAATATTGTCTTTTTCGGTAGTATTTTTTAATAGCGATTTTAAAATTCGATGAAAGTGAGTATCCCAGATTTTGTACACTTTTTCAGTTTACAAGTTACATCTCCTCTTTTATGCTACAATATCGAGGGTTGCACACTTTTTTATGTAATATTCCTTGAGCGTTTGCTCAAATAAAAATACTTTACAAATAAATAACGAATATTGATTTGCTTATTATTAATAAAATTAACATGAAAAGTGTTGGCGCGCCAAAAATCGTGCTAGAAAAATATAAGTAAGATAATTAACACATATTTTTTGAAGCATTTGTTTTATTAATCCTGTTTTTTTCGCAAACAATAGATGTATAAGATTGATTGATTATCATGCCATACAAAAGTTATCCAAGAACATAGTTAAATATGAAATAACGGAAGAATGAATAGTTGACAGAAAACTATGAACTTTTATTATCTAAATCAAAAGGGGGGAAGGAGGGGGAAACACATAAATTTGACTGTACCTTTATATTTTTCAATGCAATTCGATGTCATAATCATATATACAGGGTATAAAAAAATGTATTTGTATAGAACAAAACATAATTTAATGCCTAATATTAATTTAGCACATACAAATCAACAACGACATAATAAAGCTATTATACTTGACATTAAGCGCAAGTATCAATATCATAGCACTATTTATTTAAATGATGTTAATGATTAGTTGTATATACAATATTCAGATTATAATCTTGATAATTATATGTTGGATTTTTAGGATCCGGAATGCCTAATAATCATATCAGAATCGAGTAATCATAGGAAAGTGGTTGTCTCAATCTAAATTCTTTCCTTCGCATCTCAACATATAATATATAGGCGATATCTTTTTAATAATACGATTGTAAAAAACATTGATTCAGCGACTAATTAGGCGCAATAATATGCAAATCTTGAAGAATACTCAAGATTAATACTTTGTATGATACAACATTTTACATGAATTATTTTCTCCACATCTCAATGTTCAATACGATGATGTGTTAAAATGTCTCTGTTGTTTAAAAAAATCAATTCTTACTTATGCAATCTGTAATACAAACAGTCATTACTTGCAAGAATTTGGTCACAGCACTTGAACTGCTAAGACATTTCTCAATAAAATTGGGACAATATTCGTTCAATGGAACATATAGTACTAAAAATATGTACTTAACGCAAAAAAATATACGAATGAAATGAAATTGCTATTCAGAAAATACACAATTTAAATTTATAGTAATGATCCATTCTTTTTATCCATTTTATGAGATTTCCACATCAATTTGTCATTAATTATATGCCATTTCTCAACACTTTTATGTATTTGATTTAATGATATTCTGTGCGTAGAAAATTATTAATAAATTATAATTAGTACTCTAAATTACGTGCAAATACTTTGCTAAAATTATTTTCGTATGTAGGTACAGCGAATAGGTTACATTTTATTTGCGCACTTATATGCGCGAAATATACGTATTCTCTGCCTATTTGTAAATCTGTTTACAACTTTTTTGTAGAATGCAACTCTTTTATTCAACTAAATAAATTTAGTTAAATACATTTAGAGTTGTGCGTGTGTGTGTGTGTTAAAGAAACGTATTTTAGCCAATTGTAGATTGTTGATAGGTAGTATCGAACATACAATTTGAAGCCATTTATAGAAATTAATATCAAACGATATTAATTTCTATAAATTTCGTTACTGCCATTAATATCTGTGCCACTATTATGCAATTTTTAAAATATTTTAAAGCATGCAATGTAAAATCAATTTTTCCATGCATGATATTAATATTTATAATAAATTGAATAGAATTTTTTATTTTTGGAATTCTGTGATTAATCGAACTCAAATAAAGACAAAATTGATTAATATTAATAAAAAGTTATGTAAAATTGTTGTCATATAAAACAGATATAATTTTATAAAGGCATTGTATTAGCTTTTGTAGATGCTCCAATATTTTATTTATTGAGAATAATTCAGCTAGAATTGAAAAAAGAAACGAAATAAAAAAATATATATATAAATTCATATTCTACATGTGAAATTATTAAATACTGTGATTTATAAAATTTCAAAATGATTAATAATTCCGGATGTAGAAGATAGCAGTTCATTCGTAAGCAGTTATAAAAAGAATAAGTCTCTATGCTCTCCTTACACATTACATTTCCAATATACAGAAATTGCAAAATAAGATGATCTTTGAAGAAGTTATTTTTAAAGATATGCGACAGATTGAGACAACCCTTTTCGTTTATCAGTTTGGCCCGTAAAGGCTAAGGACGCTAACTTAATTTAATGACTAGAGTAACAGTTAATACAATGGCAATTATAATCACGATTAACAACAACAGGTAAACTTTTCGACGAAATTTACTTTGGTAATTACTTCCCTTCACCAATTCCTGTGCTCCCAGCTCGACATTGCCGTGTATATTCTCTATATGGTTGTCGATTGTATCTACAAAAAATCATTAACTTTTAACTCAAGCAAGTATATTTTAGAACAAAGTAAATACAAATCAGATTTTTGTAAAGTGTGTCTCTACAATTTTTTTCATAACTTTATATTGTTTAAAAAAGTGTGCAACTATTATTTATACTATTATTAGTACCAAAAGAAAGAAATACTTACCAATAGTATCACCTTGCTGATGCACCAGTGCCGCGAGTTCACGCATGATTTGATTCACATCCAAAATGTCTCCCTCAATTCGTTTTATCCTATCTTCTCTCTCCAGTAGTAGTCCTTGTTGAAATTCGAGTGTCCTGTGTGCACGCAACGATAATTCATTACACATTGTATTTAGACTGTTATTTATCATTTTGCATCAAGATGCATTGAAATTGACTTACCGTATATTTAAGTGCATTTTATAGCTTCTCTACATTAATAATACATGTCGTAATTAATTAATCTTTTTCACTGAAATTTTAAATTCAGTCGATTTTGAGATAGGCATGCTATAAAATCCACAATCTCTATTACTCGGCAAATCTTACATATTTTTATAGTTGATGCAATCACGATAGTTTCTCTGCTTACAGTATAGCCGAATAAAACCAATGGAAACCATCGCTATTGCCCCAACTAAGTATTATAGGTAAGATTTTCTGCAATATTTACAAGTGTACAAACATATTATTTTGTACAAAGTACGAAAAATCTGCTTCCCAAACCTTTGTGTAGCCCTATGTTCTTGTTCCTGTGCCTGAAGCAGGCGCTGTGTCTCTTCTGCATCCTCTCCATCCATAGAATTTTCTATATTAGTCATAGCTAAAATATGTCTCTTCATCTTCTCCGCAATCGACTAGAAAAAAATATCTTGCTGTTAACGTGAAGCAGAGAACAAAAGTTTTATAAAGACTATGAATTAAGATTTAAAAAGTTTTCACACAATTATATCTACTGCACTTGAATACCTTTTGCATATCGGAATATCTTTGTAATGCATCTTTAAAATCTGTCGTGAGTTTTTCAATTTGTAACTTCTGCTGCTTATCTCCACGCCTCATCAATACTGTCAGTCTAGCTATATCTTTGCTTGTCTGTGTAACCACCTGATTGGTACTCAATTGTGTTACATGTCTGGAAAGTATGAGTATGATTCAATCAGAAATATGAAAATATTAAAAATGTAAAAATAAAAGTCAGAAATTTCATCAATCATTAGGTGACACTTACACTTTGTCTCTTAAACCTTGATTATCCTTGCTGGTTCCAATGTTTTTAAAAGCCCTTTCCAAAGTTTTCCAGCTTGTGTTAATTGTATATATGTTAGTAGTAATATTTTCACTGAGGCTGTAAAGTTCAGTAGGACTAAATCCTATTTCAGGTACATCCACCCGTTGATCCGTAGATCCATAATTCTGAGGACGCTGAGCCATTCTAATAAAAAAATTCAGCTTAATTTTAGTACAAAAATTTGAGGATATATAAAAATGTGATACAAAAGTTGATGATACAGATGATGGTTATATCTCTGTGCAGTAAATTTATAATACACAAGATATTTTTAAACTTTGCTATTGTCAAAGCATAGCAGTATAAATAAAATAAAAATATTTTTGCCATCAATATTAAAATGTTGCTACTTAGCAGTATAGAAATATAAAAAATAATCATATAATTATATAATATTGTAAATCATCACTTGAATCACTACGAATATTCAATACTCTCTATAATTTATGTACAATTTATATCAAATAAATGCACAAAGTGCTCTACTGATGATATTTATAATTATATTTCTGTTTCTTAAAAATATCCTAAAATTTCAATTCTCTTATTTACATATTACACAAATATTTGTATTCCAAAGAACTAATATTGTATGAATTTAATAATTCAATTTTTACATCACAAGAGAGCTCCTGCCACAGAGCTTGTTTTAAAAATAATTTTTGAAAACATTGAAAGTTATTTTCACAAAATTATGAGGTTTCTCATACAACAAGAGAGACATTTGAACGCTCGTAGAAGTGGTTTGAGCATTATGATTATTGAGCCAAATTTACGAAGTAATCTTTGTGCAATGACACACACGAGTGATTTAACAGTAATCGAGCTAATTCTGCATGACAAATATACTTATTAAAGGAGTTAAATCAACGAACACGGACAAAGTGTCGAGTCGCGTGCAAATGATACTTCGGGGAACATGCGTCACTAACCTGAGTCCGTTTATCACAAGTGTCCTTAAATATATAAATATAAATCGCCCCGTAGAATCACATTTAAAAGCGCACGAAAATATTCTCCTGCAGCAAATTCCTCGGAAACTGACAGTTGCCTAAACGGTCTAAAGTGACGGCTCTGTGACAACAGACCCTTTGTATTCTCGTCCGTGTACGTAGAAGAAAAGCTAACGCACCGACGTGCCGCTTTTTTCCACGTTTTAATCGTACACGCTCGGAACGCGTGCGCTTGTTCAGACCGAATTTGCAAGAAACGGCACAATCGTTTTTATCGAAGTGAATTTTTCAATTTTACTCGTAACCTTCGTTTTTCCATATTTTATTTGCACGACGAGATTGATCTTATTCGATTTCTGCCTATAGACATTACACGCACCACCAAAGTCAAGTTGAGGTTTGCTTCTTGCAATTTCCTATTGTAAGCTCGTACTTGTCGAGTCGTGAGCAAAAGCTAGGAATTTGATTAAAGCTTTTTGGGAAAAATCATTCATACGAACGTAAACACTTGTTCATTATATTTTACTGGAGTAAATGTCTGAATATATTTTGGGATGACTTTTTGCTAACTCATGTGGAAGTGTCTAATCCACCGTCCAATATATCATCACTGGTGAAATCAAGGAAATATTTAACGTGAAGTTAATTTCGTGAAAATCTCGCCAATTTGCATCGCGAGATGCCGCGAAATAATATTCTGGGATTTTTTAGGTGAGTCGGCGCGACAATCGCGCACCAGGCGCCGTGAAATCAGTCGTGCGACGAACGTTGGCTTGACCAGACGTGCCTTACGGAAGCGCCCGAGTACGACCGACAGATTGCGAAAGCCTTCAGAGACAACAACCGTCGGCCGTAAGTAAACGCTATTGTGATCTTTCTTTGCTTTGCATGGCGAATTATCGGACGAGGAGCGGTGCGGGTGCGGCGAAACGCGTACCGAATGATTGCGCGGTCGTGCGGGCGCGTTATTTCGTCGGGAAAATCGCCGAATGGCCGCGTCACGCGCGGCCACGAGCTCGCGAAGAATGTTCCGGAGGGTCTCGGCGGCCAAGACCGAGCGGACAACGTAGGTCGTGCGTCATGTCGGGTGGAAGCATCGTGGTCTCGCCGGATCTCCGTCCGTTTCTCCGTGAGTCTTCGCGGTGGGCTTGATATTTTGCGGATCGTGAGAAACTCGCCGCAAAGCGTCCCGTGGTTTGCCGTCACCCACACAACTCCCACGTTTGACACTTTAGCAAATGTGCGCGATCCCGGTGGGGCAGTCGCTGGTGGCTGTCGAGAGGCTCGCGCGTGCAAAAGTTGCGAAAAGCATCGCAACGAACGAGTTGAGGATCGTACGAGGATGAGCAAGGGGGGGAGGAGGGAGAGCGGTTTGTTATTCGTACGTGTTTCTTCCTACGAGTTTTCCGGGAAACACGAGGGAGAGTCTCCCCGCCCTCCCCGTGCATGCCCTCCTGCGTTCCGACGAATTCCGGAATTAGTACGTGCGTTCGACACACACACACCACGCTTCTTCTCGGAGACGCTTGCTTACGGGCAGCGTTATTATCCTCTCGCAGTTCTCTCGTGAGCCGCACGACTTCCTGTTAGCCGATTCATCGAATATTCTATCGCGCATAACGCGAGTTTTCCTGCACATAATCATTCGAAAAATCGCTATCGCGAATGCCTCGAATTTTAAAAGTCTAATAGCGTCACGCGTATTTCTCCACAGCTCTCCTCCTCCTCCGTTCGTTCGCTCATGCATCGTACACTTTAACCCGAGAATACTGACCGTAACGACGTGCAAAACCTTTGACAAGTGTTTTAACATTTAAGTAAGAACAATTTTGCGGAAATTCTACAGCCGTTATTCTCGTAGTAATTATAATTATAATAGTATTCAAATTTTGCAGAAAGAAATATTTTATCGGATATGCGATGATTCATAATTATTCACGCCTGCCTCAGTATTCTGGAGTTAAGTTGCTTTGCAATTTAAAAATTATTTTTGTAAGCTATAGAAACTAAATCTCACAATTCTTTTTCTGCACAAATGTACAGTAGTATATTATTTTTTATGTTGATAGTAATTATTTGAGTTAGCCTGCA